TTCACTACTAACTGATAATCTCCATTGGGCAAAGAAAATATAGGTTGAAAAAGGCGAAATCACCGAAGAGCAAGTTCTAATCTTTCAAGTCGTCAAATAACGCGCATGGTGTGCAGTAAAAGTATCAGTCTACAAAGACTCGATGTAAATCATTTGCTTTTCAAACTTGTAGATATACAACTAAGAAAACTAAGAAAAAGGCAAAAGTCATAGCATAGCGTCAAAAGAAACGCCATAGCGGTATGTGTGCAATTGCACACATTTGCAAGAAGGTGCTCTACCGTAAGCTAAGAGTCTTGGTTCATTCTCTCAACTGCGACCAACCGCAATAGTTTCTAACCCAAATAACCAGCTCTCTCTATAAAAGACTTTTTCGTAGCGGATGTGGTGCATCCAACTTTCTGGCATTTTTGCCGCTCGTCCATCATTATTTCCTTCTCCTCCAAGCGTAATTTCCTCGGCTGTGTGGTTCGGGAGGAAATCGCTCTGGCGCGTGGATGGGTGGATCTGGTTTGGCACATCGACGAATTCTAGCCAGCCTCGGTCCTTTCTTTAGCGCTACCAGTTCGCCGATTCGTTCATAATTGCAGCATCCGTAAGACTCAGTGTGTATTGTTACCGCAGTCGCGTATTATGCGCACGAGTAACGCGCATATTCGGGTCGCGCAACCCTTTAAAGGCAGCGTCCGGGCAAAATTTCGCCTCTCATGTTTCTGCCATTCTGGGGCCTTCCCGTGGCCCTGAATACAGTTGTAAAATCCAAATTGTTCAACACTTCCAAAAAACCCGATTTTTGGGGACCCTCTCCTCAAGAAGCGGACGAGTTTCGGATTGCTCGTCCCCATCGCATGCCAGCGGGAGGAGCTGCAACTGCACGGATGCCGTTGCATTGCAGTATGTGGTGCAACTGCAATGCAACCGCACACTTGCGTGAGCACTCGTCCTCAGCGGTGGTTTGTGATACGAAGGGGCAGTTTGTGATACGTATCACGGGCCCATATCTCCTTTTAGAGGCCACTTCAAAGATTCGGACCAACGCAGATCGGATACTCATGGGCCTCTCTTTACAACTATGTGCTAACCTGGGTGGATGGATCTTGCCCGGACGCTGCCTTTAAACGATCCGCACAACTCGGATGAACTCTTGCGCGCAGCAGATCGCGTCGGGACAATGATGATTTACTGCCGACAGTTTGTAGAAGTAAACTGGGTTCCCGAAATAATTAGTTCTAGGATCAGGATGCGTATAGCTAACCCCGGGGATAAAGAATGATTCGAATGATGGATAGGAAATTTTTCGGAAAAAAAAGGAATGCGAACGAGGTACAATGAAAAATGGCAGCGGGAGCTCGTTCGCACATCTTTGTACTGCTAAAGATTTTTCGCGGGGGGGGGGGGGGAGCGAAATTTTTGACAGCGAAAAAAATTCAAATCTCAGACGATTTGGAAATGAAATTTCTACGAGTTGCACAGAAAAACAAGATATATGCAAAGTAAGTTATAAAGCTAGTTTGGAATGAAAAATTAGTCCCCCGTCCCGGCCCTTTTTTACCCACTACTGTTTTGCAGCCTCAAAGCTTAAATTCTATAGATTTAATTGAAAAAACCTCTTTCCCCTTCCACTTGATGATTTTCTTTACTTATCAACTAGTCCTTGATTGGCTTTTCTTTAAGTCAGAACTAGTTTTCGAGGAATTTTCAAGTACAAGTCGAAAGAAATTCCTGAAAATGGCCATGAATGAAGGACATGTTCAGAAATTTGCTTTAGAAAACTTCTGTTAAAACTTACGAAAATGGGATGGGACGTAAAACTTTTTGTCGGATTGTATTAGGTTGAACCGAAAGTTCTTTCCCCCCATTTTCAAAAAATCATAACTTCTTTCCGTCACGACGGTTTTGCACAGTTCAAATTTTATTAGAAAGCGTAAAGCATGTAGTTTCTAATAATCCCCTGGTGACTTTCCAGCATGTTCAGATTGCAGAGATAAAAATGAAAGAACGAAAACATCCGAAATTCGGAATTTTTGAGAAACAATTCCAAAAATCTAGGAACTACGCGATAAAATCCAGAAAAGCCATTATCCTAATCTCTCTTACATTTGATTACTATCTGAGTTAAGTTTGTGCTGATCGAGCTTTTCTTTTAAAAGTTATGATTTTTTGAAAAAAATGCGAAAAAATCCATTCCTTAAGAATTCTTAGGAAATTGATTTTTCGGCATTATTTTTCAAAAAATCATAACTTTTGAAAGAAGGGGTCGATCAGCACAAACTTGACTCAGATAGTAATCAAATGTAAGAGAGATTAGGATAATGGCTTTTCTGGATTTTATCGCGCTGTTCCTAAATTTTTGGAATTGTTTCTCAAAAATTCCGAAATTCGGATGTTTTCGTTCTTTCATTTTTATCTCTGCAATCTGAACATGCTGGAAAGTCACCAGGGGATTATTAGAAACTACATGCTTTACGCTTTCTGATAAAATTTGAACTGTGCAAAACCGTCGTGACGGAAAGAAGTTATGATTTTTTGAAAATGGGGGGAAAGAACTTTCGGTTCAACCTAATATAATCTTCGTTGTTATTGTTTGACATTTGTTATCGATCTAAAAAATATCGCAATTATTGCTGGAACTGGATCACGCTCAGTATTTCCAGTAGGAAAATTTTTTTACTTATTTCTGAATAAATTTGTAGAAGATGTTGAGTTTTTGAACCATGGCAAATTTAGAAGATTTTTTCTACTTCCATTGAAAAAAGCCATATATGGCACAGGGGGGTCCGAGCCCCCCCCCCCCCCCCCGAGAATGGGTCGTGAAACTTTTAAAAGTTACTTGCAGGTGTTATAAAAATGTGTAAGTGACTTGTTTATACTTGTAAAGAATTAAAATAATTTTTAGAATTTTTTAGAAATTCAAATTAGCCCTGCAAAATAATTTTTTTCGGGGGCGTGACTGGCGACACCCACTTTACCCAGCAGCTAGTTGTGTTGCTACACACATCTAACAATGGTTCTTGTCCTAATGAGATTTGCATAATTCCGACCGCCGACGTCGTCGGCCGCCGGCCGATCAGCGGCCTCAGCCGCCCGGCGGCTCGCGCGATTAGCCCCACCTTCTCTCTTTTTGTGCGCGGTCGGCTGATGTGTGGTCCCGGCAGCGCTTCCGAAAGTCGTCTTCGTCGATTGAGTTAACCTTTTCTATAGAAATGGATTTTCACACTTCAATGCGCAAAATTTACGGCGTTTATCCAATAACTGGTTGTTAGCGGCGGCGATGTGGGTGTCGTAATCCGTACGTCAGTCGCGAAATCTCATATTTCTGAAAGAAAATCGAATCAAAAGTTTAAAATCTTATTTTTTTCCGAAAAATAGCACTTTCTTCCACCTTCTTTCCTCATCAGTTGAGGTTCTTTATGTCTCATGTGTCTTCTTCCCCAATGTTTTCAATATTTTTTCTTTTTTTTGTTGCCTTACCTCCTGTTTAATTTTATTATGTTCTTTTGCTTCCATTCGTAGTAGGTATTTTTCAAACTTATCCATTGTTCATCTCTTCTCACCCTTTTGAAACAACTTTTGTTTAATCCTTACTTCCAAGGCCTTTTCAAATACAGTTATTTCCATTTACTTACTTTTTAACATTTTTTAAGACCCTATCTAGCAATTTTTGGATTATTGGCAGAATTGAAAATTTTTTCAGTTTTTCGAGTCCTATCTGACAAATTCTAGATTCTTGGCAGAATTGGGAAATTTTCCACTTTTCAAGCCCCATCTAACATCCTAGATTCTTGACAGAAATTGAATTTTTTCACTCTTCAAACCTCATCTAACAAGTTCTAGATTTTTGAAAGAATTGGGGAATTTTCCCTAATTTTTCAAGCTCCATCTGCCACTCCAGATTTTTGGCAAAAATCAAATCTTTTCATTTTTTTCCACTCTAGATTTTTGGCAAAAATCAAATTTACATTTCTTCAAGTCCCGTCTAACAATTTTCAAATTTCCGGCAGAATCGAAAATTGGCTGAAAACTAGCTTCAAGACATTATTACCTTACATTCAAATTTATAATTGGTCTCAAAATATTAAACTTATGAAACTAGAAGTCTTATTTTCAGCACATCAACTAAAACATGCAGAAGTAAAGAAACTTCTAAGCAAATATCAAACCAGCTTCAACTTCATATTTTAGAGTATATCCAGAAATTCTAGTCACCATATAAGAAGTGCTTCCGGTTCTGAAGACTTGTTAATGGCGGAACTCATAAAAACACCATCTTCTAAACATGAAATCAAATATTCTTTTCTGCGCCATTTCGAGTGTGAAGACTTTCTCAGAAGTTTCTAGAGTAGATTTAAGAAAAAGTGTGCCTTTTTTGTCTTCAATAACTATTTTTCACGTTTTAAATTTTGCTCTACGTTTTCATGACATTTATTCTTAATTCCAGTGAAAACTTTGCCTTTTTTGGCAGATCCATCACTCTTCCATTTTTTTGTGATCTCCGTCTAATTTTAGATATGTTTTTGACCCCCATGAGCAAAGAGCCTAGTTTTTTTTTCCTCACCCGAGCATTTTTTTCCTGCCCCATCGAAGCTCTGTTTAATTACCCATCAGCCTTCTATTTACTCTGCTGCCATTTTTTCCCCTCACTTTTTCTTTCCAAGCTCTCGCTCAGTGTTTGCCTCAGCTAATTTTTTTGCTATCCAAGCACATTCGAGTCTACTTTTCTACAGTGTTCAGTAAAATAAAGAGTTGAGTAAACTTCTCCAAGCATTTGAGTACTTGCACAACACGTCACAAAAAATAAACTCAAAAATAATCCAGTTAGGCTGGTAGATTGTTCAAGGTATTCTTCATTCCCACTACTTCGTCGTGCTAGACAGACTTGCTTCTAGACACCAGTGCGATCTGTGCAATTACACAACTTTCAAACTTCTCATGTATTCCACTCTATTTCTGCATGTTCTACAAATTTTCTCTTAGTATGTATAGCACATAATTTTCAGGATGAACTAATGGCTATATTTTTATTACTATTTTTGATTGCATACGTGCATTCGAAACGATTACCCGACATCTATTGGAATAGCACAAATCCGATGTAAGTTTTTTTACATTTTTTATTTATATTTCAGTCGTCTTCGAATAGATGCTGCTTAGATAAATCAGTCATCCATCTAAAAGATACTGTTCAAATTTGGTTTACAGGCTTTGGCTGAAAATGTACACATTCAACATTTTCAAATTTTCTTTACAAAATGTATCATTCAAGTTTAGGTTGGTATGAGAACTAATAAACGTTAAATGGTATTAAAAATTGTTCAGATTTTATATATATTGTATACTCAGATCGAGCTACTTCTCATATAATACATCTAAAATGATAAAATTATAAAGTAGTTGACGTAATTATAAAGTAATTGACGTTATTTTTGAATTCTGAAACACCTAACCGATTTCTAGCAAAAATGTTGAATGATAATTCATAAAAATCTCGTAATTGTATATAAATTCGGCTAGAAACTCATTTTAGGAGTTGTTCATTATCGATTTTTGAAAAAAAAATTATTGGAGAAGATTTTCTGAGATTCGAACCAAAGATATAGCTTTTTTATTCATATTATTTCATCAAAAAGGGCATATCTTAAATTTTCACCTTTTTTGAAAAAAGGACAAATTCATAGATGGTGCAAGAGTAAAGTCTAAAAGATTGTTAGCCTACAAAATCTTTATTTATTGGGATTTTGGGATTTTGCAATAAGTAAGTTTGTTTATTTGCTAAATCTTACAAGAAATTCCTGTTTCATCTATCAATAAACTGACCTTGCAATAACGGTAATAATCATTTGTGCACTTGCGGGCAATCTGGCATTCCTGTTTCTCTTCACTAATGCTCCACAAAGCACAACCATATCTTGTCCCCTAATTGCTTTGTCCTTTCACAAATTTCACCTTTTCTCCTTGAGTCCTTCGCTTTTTGACGGGAAACGGTCATGACAGCAATATTGATTTTTACGGTAATGTGCATTTTTTGTGCACTTTTGCGGGAGAAAAGACGAGACAACGTCGAGAAAATGTGATTTTATGGCTACGTTCGGCTCCAATCTCGCACATTGGCTTTTGCTCGATGCAAAACTCGTTTCGTTCGAAGCGAAAAAGCGACAAAATCGCCGTTTCATCGCCGAATAACCACAGCTTAGCGCGGCACTGATTTGGTCGGTTTTTCGACGTAGATTGAGGTGTGAATGGATTATATTAAAGCAAAAACGTTGCCACATACGGGCTAATTGCCAGCTGCACCCACATTTCCGTTTCTTGTGCATTTGCACTCTAAGTCCACTGGATTACGGTAGCGGCGCTGCTGAATTCACACCTCTATAACCTGCCGCGCCATCTGTTCCAGGGTCAAATTCGAGACCACAACTATTTATGGCGACTTTCCACATATTTTCTCCCCAACCTAAACAAAGGCATGAACTCCCGCCAGTCGGTGATATCCGGCCATAAACGGCGGTAAATCAAAGGTGGCGCGAGGGTGCAGTGCGCGGGGGCGAACTCTTCGCGTTTTGCCTTGACCACGCTGTGGGAGGGCCGTATATCATAGTGGCAAATTCTTCCGATAGCATCTGTACACTCAATAAGAGTGTATACGGCGAGTTGAGGGGGTCATACGTGAAGAGGCGTGTTCTGCCAAGGGGGCGGGGTTTGAGCAGTTTTTTTTATGTTTACGAATTTTGAAGTAATGGTGAAAAATGTGAAAATTCAACCATATGACCCCATGAAACGGTGTTTTTATTCATATAGAGTGAAAAAGCGACTGATTTTATGGAGAAGGGCGTGGTCTGCCAAAGGGGCGGGGTCTCAACACCTCGTCTCCTGCTTGTTAATTATTCTTTTCGGGTTTTCGGATGTACTTCGTACAAGCTCATGTACGGCATTTGCGCTGGTCTTCTTGGTCCCTATAATCAAATTCTCACACTTATTTTCAGCGCATTCAATGTTGCCTACTATATAAAGTGCCAGCCGAAATGTCACTAACACTCTTTGAAACTTCGTTAGTTTGATTTTGAAAGTGCGAAGGGGCTTGATTTCTGCAAGAGACTAACTTTCGAAAAACTGAAGTGTCGCTAGTACTCAAGAACGTGCAAAAAAATTTTCATAAAGTTGAAGTCAGGGCTGGGAATCATAACTAATTCGGAAATCGCCAAATTCAAAGAGCTTTTCTGCTCGAAAATCTTGGTTATTGCTGCAACAGATATAAAAAATTGCAACTCAGAATGTACAATTTTTGCGTCAAATAAGAGCTTACAGAAAGTGAGTTGATGTAGAATGGGCGGGGTCTGCCAGAAGGGCGGAGTCTGAACAGCCTGCTTTCTTGAAGGGGAATTGATCAGTGAAAAAATTAGGGGAACTGACCATTCGGTAGCGATCTGAGAAGTTGTTTGACTTTTGTTGTTGGCTAAAAGTGCGTACTTTCTCTTCTGCTTTAGCCTTTCTTATCTGAGAAAATCTACAAAGCCTAGGACACCCGTTTCCCTTCCCCTCTTCCCACCCTAAAAAACGTTTTTTTTTTTTCACGATCGCACTCCTACCCCTCTCGCACTCCTTTCTGAACAAATCCCACGAAGACATGGCGGCGATGACAGTGTGTTGTTTTGTTTGCTAAGCGATGAGATGACATCCACTCTATCGCAATAGCAGTCGCACCTTTTTTCGTCGTCGCCACAATGAAATCGAAAGAGCCGATTGCGATTCGAACATTGCGACACTCGAGATCGGACTTGCAACTTGCACACACACCGCTGCGACAGATGTGCACGCAGAGATTCGCGTCGCGACCCGAGTGGAGGGATCATCCCTAGCTGAGGCTAATTAATTCCATATGGGAAAGAAACATGTGCGATTGTGAGGGGATAGAAATAGACATGTTTAATATCGGGTCAAGCTCGGCTAAGATTTAATCGCATTTTAAGTGGATTGCTAGGATGAAACAACCAATGCATATGCCGTATCTTGATAGGTTACGGTAACGCAATAGACCAGTAGATCACTGTTTTAACAGACCCAAGCATTCCAACCATATTATCCGCCCTCGGCCGATGTCTTTACTCCAAAATGATTTCTACTTGAGAGTACTGAGAAATCGCGTTGCAAAGAATGGATTTCACAAAAAATATTTCTAAACCTTATTTTTTGAACAAGCTTTAGTTCAATGCTAAAATGTGCAAGTGAATTCTTGCATTTTCGATCCAAAAACGACAAAAATTCAATCTTTGATTTTTCTGCAACTTTTCTGAATGGTGCAGATTCAAATGCTATTCTATCATCTATTTTATTTAGATTCGATATCAGCAATACGGACCATGTGATGCCAGTAAACATTGGGGATCGGGTGTCTTTACTGTGTCCACGGCCAGGACCGGATTACGAATATTCAAATATTTATGCGGTCAGTTCTTTATAAATTTCAATGATTTTCTTCATTATGTAATTCGTGTTTTTTTTTCTTGTCCAGTTATTTTCCTACACATTGGAGTTAAAAATGTATTAAGAATGTAAAACTGGCCTCAAAATAGATGCTTGGACTTACAGTTGATAAAAAAAGGGCGCAAATAAGCCGAGTATGAGAAAAATTCGGGTAAACAAAAGAAGTAAGAGTTTGAACCGGTTTTTTCGCCCTATTTCCTCTATTCATTCAATATTTTCTGTGACCTTGGTATTTTTATCATTTTTCAAGGGTAATTTCTTCACACTATTTCCTCCTACCCAGCGATAAGACTACCTCGTAACTACTTTACGGCGTACCCTACCTTTACCAGATAACCGAGACACCGCCTCCACTGTCAGAACCTCATTTATCACCCGGCTTCGTTCAAGGTTATGCAATCGGTCAACTCAGCACAACACTTGCGCAACCAGTATATTTGCTCATCTGTTTTCGTTATCAAATCCCTCGCACACAGATCCGTGACAGGCCGCTCGGAGCCCTGATCGCTTCGCTCATGCTCGACCTATTGGCCTAGGCAAGAGAGATTATGGGATTATACTCAAGCACAAGAAATCAAAAGGGAACCGCGCTTTGCTTTAGGGCAAAAAAATTAGGGAGAATTTTAACATGTTTTGCCACAGAACTCAGGGATACAGCACTGAAAATGCTCCTGATTTGAGAATTAGAAAATACCCATAGAAAAGTAAAAAAAAGGGTTAACATAGAGAAAAGAGTCATGAGATATTTTTTTACTTCCGCTGGTGGATGAAGAATACCATATCATGAAGAGTATCATATTATTTCTAGTATTTTATATTTTTTTATTTTCATTCCTCTAGTATTTTTCTGTGGAGGCCAATATGTACATCCACAATCATCCTAAAATGGAATCCTTCTTTCCTTATATTTTTGAATAATATTTCGCTTATGTAAGCTCAAAAATTCACTCTATTCGCAATTTTCTTCCCATAATATCATCCCCCCAAGAAGATAGTTTTCGAGAAGTATATTGAGCAATAACTTAAAAAATTTGATAAGCTTGATAAATTTGGAGATTTTTTCGGAATTGTTGAGAAAAACAGTGGACAAAAAAATTTATAGCCAAAAAAGTTACCCTTTCCTCATTTACACCCTATGATTTGAGATCTATAGTTCCTGGTTGAATGCTCCGTAACACTTTGTGGAAATATTTTGTGAGTTTCATCAAAGAGGCAAATATCTCTTCGAAATTTGAAGCATGTTTTTTAAAGTTTTCACTGATTTCCTTTCTTGGCTTTGTTATCAAATTCCCCCTTTAAAGTTTCCCGTCACCTGTCAGCCCTATAAGCATACGTATACAAATAGCTAAATGGCCACGGAAATTTTGTCCGTAAATACAGACTGCCAACCTCTAGCTAATTCAAACGCATGACCTCATAGAGGTTGATGACAGACAGCTTTCGGCTCTCAGCTAGATCACCCCAACCAACGGGCGTTCCGAGGTTCGCAGTCTGGTTTCGTCCGTAATTATTTGCTCAATTTTGGATGACAAACATGACGATTTAATGACATTTCAAGTTTTCGGGCAGAAGTGTGATGAACGACCCTGTGTGATTGAACGCGACGAGTAACAATTATCACAATTATAGGAAGAACATGCGAATTACATGCCGGAAGGGTTAGGATTATAAGAATTGTCAGGGTTTTCGTGCCTGCGCTAATAAATTTCTACTTTGAAAGTCACAAAATGTTACTACGTTTTTAAGCGAATTCTGTGACTTTTTCTACACATTATCGGTCTCTCTAGCCAAACCCATTTCGTAGCACTGATATCCAATAAAAAGGCAAAATTGGCCTTTCCATTTTCCTCTTCCTCGACCTACGGCACACATATTTGCACAAACGTCACCTCAATGTGCATGTATGTCTCGCCACATTGCCCTTTAACAACAAAAGTGACCGATATCTTCAGCACTAGAAAGGGGTCAAAAATATTTTGCAGTGACTGATTCTGCAAAACCAATTTTTCTGTCAATTTATATTCATTGCATTTATCAAATTCCCACAAAAGAATGCAGTTTTCACGATGTCATTAATAGTGCTAATTTTCAAGCGCTAATTTTTTATTGTAGCAGGATAAATCTAGATTTGACTTCAAAAAAAAATCAACGTTCGAGGGTCTTTTCTAACACTATAGGACTATAGGATCTATAGGAAACACTGGAAATAATGGTCACAGCCTCAATTTTACGAACAATAAACTTATTGAAGGAATTTGTAAGAAAAAATGGAAGTTAGCTTCATAAAAAGCAGAAACAACAAGCTTCCAAAATTTGCAAAATTTTTAGAAAACAAAGTTGTCTACCACAGAAGAGTGTTACTGAGCTACTTCCTTTCTTACACTATTTTTCAATTTTTTTACCATCGTCTTCCATTAACCAAAATTCCTCAGCTACCTGGCTACTTTGTTAAAGATTACTTGTGATTTTCAAATGGAACAAGAACGATTTTTTTGTAAGCGTTTCCAACTTTCTTCTGAAAATCTGCGACTGGATGGGCTGTGGAGCTTTTGCTGCACTTCTTCTTTTTATTTCTATAATAATTGCTTTGTGTTCCCCGCCAGTCAACTTCTTGCCATAAGTATCCAACTTGCACTCTACTTTCTATCCACTTAAACAGACACACTGAAGCCACTTGTTATACAGGATGATCATCTTTCAAAGCAGTTCTAGTCGAGTAGGTGAGATGAGACGAAACCAGTTTTGTTTGATGAGGAGGGCAAGGGGAGGGGGGGGGGGGGACGACAAGGCAATGCTTACTGTTTTTTCCAATATGCGGCGAGACTCTCATCAAGAGCTAGCCACTCATCTGCGATCAGCTACCGGCCAATGTTGTTAAACAAACATCGGTGCAACTGTTTAGGTTTGTACGAGTGAGTGCGTCTAGTTGTGTAGTTACAGACAAATCTGTAGAGTAAACGAGGGTGCAGGCGAGGCTGAGGACGAGCTAATGGGTAGGGCCATTGATGGTGGGGATTACGCTGTTTCAACCTCATTCAAGGTGCAATTTCGCGCCGGGGTAAAGTAAATATTTTTGGGGTGGCAAATCTCACAACTGTTTGGCCTAAAGAGGGGGATAAATTTCGAAAGGTAGCGTCCACCCAATTCAAGGACTCTGACATTTTGAGTATGATATAGCGGGGCCCCTATTTAGGTGATCGTCCAAATTCCGCTACAAAAGATGAATTCCGAAGGGAGAAAAGTGCTTCAAGGTAGAAGCGGTCAAGGTAGTTCCGCCCATCGACGTGGGTGGTCTTAGGATAATGAGCTCGAAAGCGAGCTTTAGGGTACATAGAAATGTCGAAGATCTATAATTTTGATGAAGTGCGGATTTATAATAGCTCCAAATACGTTGAAGCCCAATTTGGGATTTTTTTATCTTCAGACCACCCACGTTGATGGGCGGAGCCACCTAGCTCTGTTCTAGCTTCTGGAGCGCTTTTCTTGCTTCGGAATTCATCTTTAGCAGCGGGACTTAAGCGAGTAATTAGTTAGGGGCCTCGCTATTACATAATGCCAAAATCACCAATCTCAATTTGGTGAACGGTGCCTGGAAGAGACCCATCCCACCCAACCGGAAGAACCCATCCCGTAAACATCTCTAAGATTCAAATCTTCCACTCGGCCTTGTTTTGGCATTCTCCTTAGCCGATGATGTGGTACTAATGACGACGACTGATGTTATGTTACATAACCAGATCTGATGGATAATATGATTCTGACCACTGGAGTGGATGTTGACCTCACTGGACACCCCATCTTGATCGCGTCTTGATTAGCCTCGTAGATTTATTCCTAAACGAGCTGATTTGCTCATTTGTGATGGCGGAATTTGGGGTGGGAGGGGGGAGGGGGAAGGGGGTCGAGCAATTAAAATAAAATGTGGAACTGGAGACTATAAATGCAGGAGATTTTCGAGATTTTCCGAAAGTGCACCTTTCAAGTCTCGCCAAGATTGTTATAAAAGATTGTTATAAATTTACATTTTTTAATTTTACAATTTTTTTTTGCAAAACCAAGCATGGAACATCATTTAAAAGAAGTCAAAAAAAACTAGAAATCATGCTTGACACGGCTCGTTGAATTAAGAAATATTTTTCATCCAAAAAAAACTAAAGTCTAGTGATCGACGAATTTTAGTGCGGCCGCGGTGTCGACAACATTCAGGTGAAAAATGGCCATAGGGCAGTGCAAAAGCACATTCTATTATGTGCAGCTTTCAAACCTCACTAAGATTGTTATAAGTTTATAATTTATGTTAGAAACTAGTTAGTTTGTGCTTTACGAAACTCTTTATGCGCAAGCTGCGGGCAGCACAAGAATGGCAACTTATTTCCCGCGCAAACATTGTCGGAACCGTGAATGCACTCAGTTAAGTGAAACTACTAAATAGATTGTAGAAATCACACCTTTCGTTAGACATTAACCTGCTCTAAAGCTAAGGTGATTAGTCTCGCAGTTTGTCGTCAAAATTTACAAAAAAATCTTTCCCATTAATTTCTCATCTCGAGGACTTATGGCGAACTTCTGAAGAAATCATGGAAAATAATAAACGAATTTCTATAGGTTTATGAAAAAAAATCTTTTTTTCGGTGATTTCCTTGTGACTTTTTCCAAGAACAGATCTAAAATCTGAAATTCAATTTTTCCTCCTATTTCAAGATTTCCTCAGTCGTCACCTCCTCAGCAAAGCGATGTGCCTTTCATGCAACATTTCTGCACTTTTCCGTGTTTCCGGCTGCAATTTAGCGTTGATTTGAATGTCGTAACCACATTGGTTGTCGTCAAAAATCGCCAGGCATTGAATCAGCGCTCGGTTGACCGATTCCGCGCCGCGACGGATGGACGCGCGGACGGCCATCGTCGGATTCAATTACACGCTAACGAACCGATAACGACTACACGAACACAGATTTGTACTAAAGCGAGCGATCGTCCCCCCCCCCCCCCCCCCGTAGAAGCAGTCACAGCTGCAGTGAATGCAGCGCAGATTTGTTCAAACGTGGAGTGCACGCTAAGTGGATAGACGTTTCGGTGTCGGGTAATCTGAGACTAGTAGAAGCCGTCATTCCTATATTACGACAGGGAGAATGTTGGGGATAAGGTGGGGGGGGGGAGAGCATAGCAAATTTTTGAAATCGAAATATCAAAAAGCATTGAGATTATGAATAGCAGTGACCGAGGAAGAGGGGGGGGATAGAGTACGAAATTTTTTTGGTTTACAGTCGAGTCAGTCGTGAATGTGTGAACTTGCACCCTACACGCGCCACCCCACGACTCTCTGGTAAAAACTATCAAAATCTTTTTACTGTAATAATCTCTGATGCGAAGTTGCAATTGCTTTCAACTAGTTATACCCAAAAAGATTACAAGCAAAAATTCCTATAGAATGTCAATTCATAAGCCCATAATTTGTGAGATGCAGCGCGTGGTGTGCAATGCACATGTTACAAAGGACTTTACTGCACCTGGTTGTGAAACTATGTAGGCCACTCCTTCCCGTTAGTAAATAGTAATTTTACAGATTTCATAAATCAGCTTTGCAGGCTAAAAGTTTAGCCCTTGCGAAAAAAATGCGTGACTGCCTCTAATGAGTGAAATTCTCTACTTGACATCAATGCTTTGTTAATTCACCAACAAAGTCTATCACGTTGATCATAATCTATCATCTTGATCTATCACGTTTCAGACTTATGTAAGAAATACACGGTGGTTTCCAGTAATCAAGGAGCCCAAAATCGCTCTGTGTAATTCTTATATTGAGTCGGTCCGAAAATTCGTGCTATTTTTGAGAACCATCCTAAAATCGTTCAAACAATGAAAGATCAACGTTCTAAACAGTGTTCGATGCATAAGTTCTTCCTCTTCTAGCGCAGGCGTTAATGTTTCGATTTTTCAAATTTTCCAATTTTGACTTTTGGAAGAACCGAGATCGCTGTTGGTGTACAAAATGCAAGAAAATAAATTATTTTTTCTTCTTCGACGGCTTGCGATTACTTTTAGCTATCCTTGTTCCGATATCTTTGATGGTTGCTCTATGATCGTAACTCCAGCCATGCTTTTTATCCACCCCTATTTTGGCTATTTTTCAAGCTTTTCATTACAAACTTTTGAAAGAGCTTTGACCACGCAGAATAGGGTAAACAAAATGCGACAAGCAATTTTCGCTCGCAGCTGGATTTCCAAGCTTTTTAAAATGATTTTTTGGTGCTATCACACATTAAAGAGCGAGTGAGTAAGGTATCATTCGATGCAAATCTCTCTCCTTTTTGTAATAAACGTTATATGATTCGTGAGGGATTCGAGGATAAACCCAATGTAATTCTAGTTGCTAAACGAATTCAAGCTGTCAGAAAATTCGAAATGCAATATTCTGAAGCTGTAAACACTAACTTGCTTTGGTAGATTAATAAGTTATAATTACTTTTGAGAGTTTCATATAAAAGTTTGTTTTTATTTGAAGCGTTGTATATTTTACGACTTCGCAAAAATGAAGACTTTCGAGAAAAAAATGATTGCGTTCCAGTCAGAAAAGCAAAAAAATTTTATTTTCTTGCATTTCCTGTACTCTATCCAACAGTGATCACAGGTTCCAATAGTCAAGATTGGAAATTTTGAAAAATAACTAAAATAAGGGTAGTAAAAATCATGCGTTGGAGACTCTGGCGATTATTTAATAACACGACTATTAGAAAGAGAAGCAGTTCTGCATAGAATATTTTTGGAGCGTTTGTTTTTCATTATTTTGAATGTTTCTAGGTCAGGTCCAAAAAACGACATGAACGGACTCATAATTATTTTTTGCCTTTACGGGAGTATTTTCTAAAGCGATTCTCCTAAAACAGTTTTGAATCTGATACGAACAAAAAATTGAGTGAAAATGAGATCATGACGAGTTACAAAAATGATTCCCGTTTCTAAAAACTTTGAAAAGAAGTTTCTGCAAGCAAACATGATGTCACTGTCGTAGAAGTAGAGAATGATTCGCTTCTTTAGATGTGCAGAAGCTATTTTTAAAAAATTATAATATCCAATACAATTGCTCTATTCCTTATTTCTTCTAGTTTCAGGTATCAGAAGAGGAGTACACCCATTGCTTTCTTCAGAATCCTCATTTAGTTGGGACATGCAACAATAACACGCAGGAGGTTCAAACTTACCCTTTTCCTTCATTTAACCTGCACGTGCTCAATCTCCAATCGTTTAGGTAACCATTACAGTCGTCTTCCGACAGTTTACGCCTACGCCGGGTGGCATGGAGTTCGAACCGGGGAAAACGTATCATTTCATAAGTTAGTAGAGCTCCTTAATTTATCACTTACAAAATTTTTGCTATAAAAAAGTAGCTGCGCAATTTTTCAAGATTAATTACACATTCTAGCAACTTCCGATGGTACTCTGACTGGCATCGATAGGAGAAAAGATGGTTTATGTACGGAACGTCAAATGAAGGTTAAATTCGAGGTAAGGCGATGTTCCACTGAGATAACCTTACTTACCAATTCGTTAATTTACCAACACACTCCGCAGGTTCAACTTCCCAAAAATGAGATGCAACCTCACGTAAATCCAAAGTTTGCCGCTAGGACTTCTCAGTAAGTCTAACTTGCGGACATCATCTCCACAAGAATTCCTATTTTCAGAATTGAACAACCGGAATTAGCACAACAGGAAGCATCTACGCCATTAATGTACATAATCCATGTTGGCGGTGAAAATTCCGATGAATTGGATGGTAAGCAAAGGGTAAAACTCTATGATATAGGCTGTATCAACCATACTGTCACAGCTCCAGCGGCGCGCGCCTTCGCAGCCGCCTCGCTCGGCCCTGCGCTGCATTTGCGAACGTGTCCCGCGGACATTCACTCGCACGTCGGTCTTCGATCGCAGGCCAGGAGGAGAATACTCTAAAGATACGTTCGCAAACGCGACGCAAGGGCCGAGAGAGACCGCCGCCAAGGGGGTAGAGGACTATATGTCGCCGGAAGAGAGGGTCCCGCGCGGACGATGCAGCAGATACTCAGCCTGCGCTTGTATTTGAATGTGTATCTGTTGCAGATGGGTGGTATCTCCACTTTCTGCGACATAAAGTCCCCTACTCCAGCCAAGGCGCGCGCTCTTGGAGCTGTCACATTGTTACTGATACAGTCTGTAAGCCCAAAAGACTATGATATGATTCCTACCGTAACCCACTCAACCATGAATGTGAATTGAAGTGGTTACAGTAGCAAAATACCAAAACAGCTTACATTCAGCGTACGAGAAACTGCTGTAATCTTAGTATGATCTAATTTTCCTTTCCAATTTTTATTTTATAGACGACTCTGCCACAACTGCCTTCACATCTTCAATTCTTCTACTAACGCTACTACTATTCTACCTCAACTGAGCGATTCTTCGAAAACATCCGTGCTCCGTGTCCCCTTCATTACCTCACCCCGGTGTCAGAGTGCGATATGCAAATGGTAAAGTACCGAAGGCTGGACACAAGACGACACACTTCACAATCCAAAGACAGTCACAATCACCTGTTTATCTGGCTTTTTACGGGTATACTCTTCTCTGTTCATAAGATTTGCATTTACTTGAGCGTTTGTATGTATCTACCCTCAGTTTCACTTTGTGCGTTCAGCTGTGATTATTTAGTACGTTTATAAATGAAAAAATAAATAAATTCTCTAGTGTAACAAAAACAACAACAACAAAAACAGCAATGATGTGGAACGTGAAAGCATGCGATAGTGAGGAAAGAAAATATAGGTAATAAGAAACACAAAGGAAAAACTGATACATTAAATCAGCGATAAACATGTAACTCGAAATTCACCGTGATCAGCGTGGATATCTGTTCCCTGATGAGAAAAAAATACACGTAAAGACGACCTGATCCAGATCCTTGCCATCGTAGTTCCAAAAAAGGATTCACCAATTCAGGAATTCTACGATGATATTCCTTCATGTGGTGACCGAAACTCACGAAGCTACAAACTACAGCAGCGAAAATAACGCAGAAAATGGAACAATTGAGTTAGCAAACAAGAAACATATGAGACAATCAAACTTAGGAACTTATATAAAAAAATAACGAACTATGATGTAAACACTGATATTTGTACAATTATTATGGTGTTACAGCCAATTTCCTCAGCGACACCAAAAATTGCTCATCAGCTCCTCTTCGGACAAAATGGGAACATTCCAAAAATTTCCAAAAAAACTCACTGACTTCTTACTGGGATATAAACCCTCCCAACCTGTCGAAAGAGGTAAACTAAAGAGCGTGACTTTACTAGGTAATAAAGAAGAGTGTCAAGCTTAACAGGAGGATAGGCATGGAGGGATTACGCGCAGCTGAAAATAAACTAAAAATTCTTAACACTCACTCACAATTTTCATGGCTACGATCTAAAAAATGTGACATAGTGATATGAACTTACAACTATAGTTGAAATATTCCGATGACCATGGATCCCATTCAGGACTTTGTATATCAGCAAACGTCTAGAAAAACACAATGTTAACTATATTTCTTACAAAAATTACTAAATTTACCGGCAAAATTTCCTCCGCTGGTTTCAACTGATATGAATTGTGACGAGCCCACGGCCAACCGGACCAAAAATCACTTTCCTCACTGGTCTGAAAACGTGAATTAAAGCACGAAAAAAATCACCACCATTCCATGAACCAGTATAGCAACGTTAGCCACCTCATGCGGATTGTGAACGATTATGTTCCTCTTCTTAGCTGAAGTTGTAGATGTTTCCAGGCGTGGTCTTCTGCTTGACGGTCGTCCTCCATATATAACACGCTGCACAGGAACCTGAAACATTATTTGAGATGTAGAATTCTCCAAAATAATGAATGTTCCGAATCAGTAGTAAGCAAAAATTTACAACACGAAAAACCGCTTTTCTTTTGACCCGAGCTCTGAGCTCCGACAAATTTTCGGCTGAGACAAGGGACTCTAGTCATGTAGTTGCTCCCTGCTGTCTTGACAGGCAAGCAGAAAAGGTGAAGTGATTCACTTTCCCCTTTTTCAACGTTTACATGCTATGCATTCAAGAAGAGCGAAGACTATACTTCGCGACGTACATGCGCGTGATGACCCAGCACGCGCGAGAATAAGCATATTGAAAACAAAAAATGCTATTTATTTCCATTCACTCCAATGAAATGCTTTACAAGGCGGGCAAAGCTTACAACTTACCTGAATTTCATCAAATTCTGATGTGAACGAGCGTGTAAGCAACGGCACGCGCTTGGATGAACGGCGCACTTCCAACTAAAAAGCATACATAGACACATGCATCTCAGAATCCCATACAAAAACTTACAATCATTCTGACACCCATGAGACACAATGCTCCACTTTTCTCGTGCACTCCCATGTGCGTTCCGGATGAGAAAGCTGAAAACGAGGCACAGACGAAAACAATTTTGCAGGAAAGAAAAACTCGGAGAATCTATATTCTGATAGACAGAAACTGCAAATGTCTATGCAAAAACAAACAAGAAAGAAGCGGTGATGAATCTGGAAATTAGTGAATATAGAACTCACAAGTAAAGAAGTATGAGGCATTGGCATTGTAAGCGGATTGCACAGTAAATGCAGAATTGGATCTCAGAGTAATGCTGATGTACTTCGTACCAGCTGTACATTCACCAATCCATTCTGCTGACAGATCGTACTTACACTCATCAAACGATTCCTCTGATACCTGTTATACCAAGATGATACAATGTGCAAAAAAACCTGATTTGAAAATATACGGAAGTAGCTACCGCACTCAAATGAGCTCAAAGTTTAATAAATGAAAGCACGATGAAAGAGCTATATAGATTTAAAAGCAGCGTCCAGGCAAGTCTGGACCTTTGGGTTACGTGGAAAGTACTTTTGGGGTCCTAACTAAGCCACTGCCCAACCGGCAGCTCAGGTAGTGCCCTAACGCCTGAGATATTCCCCTCGAAACTGGACCCCGCGACCGTGTTTCGCATGGATTCATGGCGCAAAGCGTGGACCCTGGCGCGAAACTGCCATGAATCCATGCGAAACACGGTCGCGGGGTCCAGTTTCGAGGGGAATATCTCAGCCATTAGAGCACTACCTGACCTGCCGCTTGCGCAGTGCCTTAGTTAGGGCCCCAAAAGTACTTTCCACGTAAAAGCCCCATAGGTCCAGATCTGCCTGGACGCTGCCTTTAAAGGCAAGAACTGAGGAAATTGCCAGAAGCGATCTAGAGACCATGAGTATGAGCCGTACCGACGAAGCATGACTACAAATCTGCGGAGACACCTACTACTAACTGCGAGCGATACAAATAGTGATGTTGATGCATCGCAACTGCGACAAAGGATTAAGAATGCGTGCATAGGGAGAACTTATGGCTGTCCCAAAAACAATGTCACACCTACAGCGCCTCAGGCATTCGCGACTGCCTCGCCCAAGACCTTGCGCAGCCTCAGGGAGCGATTAAAGACTGGAGGAAGTAGGAGAATGCCGACGGTACGATCGCAAACGCAGCGCAATATTGAGGCGGATGAAAGCTCGAGCCGCGGAATTGTCGGTGACACAGCCTACACATTTTTCAGCAGACAGATAACAAAGTAGTTGGAGAAGTGAGCTCGTAAAGAATGGGGCAAAAGAGACCTCAAATTCTATTGAAGTTTTTGTAATATAGAAAAAGTATAAAAAAGAAATTAGACAAGAAAAGAAGATTAGCGAAAAGGAAACAGTTTTTACTAAACCTACTCGATAGATGACAGCTGGAATGTTGCTGTCGCAAACAAATACTATTCGATCCCGTAAATGAAGTTCGACCAAAGCGGCATGATCAGGCATGGGGTCACGAAATCTAAAAAGCTATGGATTCACTGTGTTAAATCAGTAAATATTTCATTTTTCAAAGAAGGATCTCTTACGGCTCTCCATTAGGTGACCAGTCAATTATAGCTTTCTTAGTGACAGCTCCTGCCAGAATTATTAGAGTACTGAGGAAGAGAACTGTGAAAGCGAAATTCTTCAAACTAGGAGTTTCATCACAAGACCGAAAGATAGCCATGAGGTAATTTGAATAAACACCTGAAATGCATAATCGAATTTGTCACGGAAAGAAAGAGTATTGGTAGAAATGCAACAGACTACAAATCGAAAAGAGCGAATCAATGATTGCATCATGCAAAAATCGAGGGGGTTTATTGATGGTGTCAGAACAACCTGACCACATAGGCAACAAAAGTAAAAAGGAAGCGAAAGTCGTCCTAAAGTAACGGTGATTTGCAACGAAAAAGAAAACAACAAAATTAAGTACGATAATAACTAAGTAGAAAATGACTACACAAAAAGAAAAATCGAAATCGCACAGTTTTAGATGCCATTTGGCCTAAATCCAGGTCGAAGGATTACGGTATAGCGATTCAAGCAAGACTTCTCTTGTTGGAGCGCCATTGTCGAAGAGTAAGCAGCGGGAGCACTTTTGAACAACAAAAATAACATTCGTAAATGATGAGTTTCAGTCGCTTCCTAAACTTGTATCCGATGGTATATAGTCCCCTCCACAGATCGTGCTACCCTTGGTCTGCGTCTCAGACCGCCACGTGTGGCTAACATGTCGGCAACGTGGCAACAACATGTTTGCAACATGCCCCGACATGTTGGCAGAACATTTTGGCCACGCCAACAGTTGCTGCTTGCCAACTTGTTGCTGCCAACGTTCCAATGTGTTAGTCACACGTGGCACGTCCGCGACGCCACAAGGGTAGCACGATCTGTGGAGGGGAGGATACATAGTATACTTTGGGAAATTCGGATTTTTTTATTCGACTATCGAATATTATTCGAAAATTGAAAACTTCGAATATTCGACTATCGAATTTTATTCGAAAATGGAAGTTTTCGAATCGAATAATATTCGAATATCGAATACCATTCGATATTCGAATTTCGAATATTATTCGGTTCTCGAATAATATTCGATTTTCGAATATCGAATGGTTTGAATTTGAATACTATGCGAATAAATTATGTCAGTGAGACCACCTGTGAGAGACCAAAACATCTGAGAATAAATTTTTTTCAGGTATAGACATTTTTTATGATTCAGTTTACAAAGAAAAAACGGTTCAGTTGCAGCCCCTGCAAGAAGATAGGTGCCGGATTGTGGCGATGTTAAAGTAGTCCCCCCACCTAAGCGATGACTGATGTTCGGAGCGAAAAAGGGGGCTACCAGGCCTAAAATTTGCCCATAAGTGGCCCGGATCTTACGGTAGGCTCGTGAGTACGAGATGCATGCAGGGTAGATTCGAATTCGCTGGGTCTGCCGTAAGACGGGCCACTTTGGGAGCAGTTTTCAAGCTTACCAGACCCTCTTTTTTGCTGCGAACTTCGTCACCGCTTAGTTAGGGGGTCCAATTTAACATCGCCATAAATTCCCGGATCCATCTTGGGACGCTGTCTTTGAGAACCTAAAAGCGTACGTGACGGTTGTAAAAAAATTTCAAAAATCAAAGAAAATTATTTATCCTCATTGAGAGTTGTGGGCCGACATACAGGGGTCCCAACAGTATGTGTATCTGTGGGCTGACATCAACCTAGACTTACAGTATGAAGCGATGTATCGATCGCTTTTCATTTGTAAATTACCGTAGGAAAACTGAGGAGGGCTTTGAGATATCAAGAGCCGTTTGCCCAAGAATGAGAAACAAAAAGGCCGATGTTACACTAGGCTTCTAAAGACACTCACTATATAAAGAACTAGCTGGCTTACCCGGCTCCGCCGTATCCGGACCAAACTTGGCACACATACACTTCGGGCCCCGGCGGGTGTCACAGTCCACTTTTCGTTATCGATCGATGTCGATTTTACCGATTTTTATCGATTTTTTTGCAGAGTTCACCTACAGGGCTAGGAGTTGGCACAGGGGGGAAGTGAACATGGGGATTCCGAATACAATATTAGTTTTCAGAATTATCGATTACTTTTATTGATTTTATCGATTTTTTGTAAATTTTGACATGCGAGGCTGGGATTTTGCACAGGGGTGTAATCGAGCATGCTGATCACCCCCCTTGGGGATGATCAGCATGCTCGATTACCCCCTTGTGCCAAATTCCAGCCCCCTAGCTCAAACTTTGCAAAAAAATCGATAAAATCGATAAAAGTAATCGATAATCCTGAAAACCAATATTGTATTCGGAATCCCCATGCTCGATTACCCCCCTGTGCCAACTCCCAGCCCCGTAGCTCAAACTTTGCAAAAAAATCGATAAAATCGATAAAAGTAATCGATAATCCTGAAAACCAATATTGTATTCGGAATCCCCATGCTCGATTACCCCCCTGTGCCAACTCCCAGCCCCGTAGGTGAACTCAGCAAAAAAATCGATAAAAATCGATAAAATCGATATCGATCGATACGAAAAGTAGCCTATGACACCCGCCGGGGCCCGAAGTGTATGTGTGCCAAGTTTGGTCCGGATCGGTTCAGAAATGGAATTTTCTATTCGGAACATACGTACATACATACAGACAAACAGACATTCAGCTTTATATATAAGAATTTGCACTCAACCGTAACGCCTTGTGCAACTTATGCCAGATACACCACTTAAAAGCCCGTGCGTAGTTAAACATACGTAAAATCCTGCTACATAGATTTGAAATCTCTTTTTTTGTTGGGAAAACTCTTTTGGATGTCTCATTTCGCAGTTGCTCTATATGCTAAGTTCATACCATGATAACACAACAAGAAAAACATAGGTGATTTGCTTTCTGCTGTATTTATAAGTTGAAGCCATCCCTACAGGATGTTAATTAAAGGTTGGCAAAAGACTTCGTGAGAGGTATTAGCGACTGAACAGTTTATACATACCCTTGGGACACCCCGTAGATGTTGTGGATATCGAATTTTCGAATAGTTAATTCTTATCGAATTTTCGAATATTCGGTGCTCATCGAATATTCGAATATTCCATGGACATCGAATGATCGAATTAATGACCATCGAATATTCGACTATCGAATAATATTCGAAAGTTGAGAATTTCGAATATTCGACTTTCGAATTATTCGAAAATGAAAATTGTCGAATATTCGACTGTCGAATACTATTCGAAATCTCAGATTTTCGAATATTCGAATTTTCGAATCATTCGCATTCGAATGATTTATTCGAATAATCGAATAATCATTCGATTCGGTCCAAAGTATAATACATAGCCTTTGTTAGCCTGCACGGTCACTGATAATTTCGCACGCAATTTCTCGCCAAATTGCGACGCAACCGCACGCAGCCGATGATGAGGACAAGCGGAAGATGTCTGGCAGCGCAGAAGCCATTACGTAGGATTCGGAAGAAAAGTTCTATCAAGTTGGGGCAGAAAAGGTAGAAGGTTTTTGTCCGAATTTGACATATCTTCTGTCCAATCAGGAGCAGGTCAAATTTGATCTGATGCTTTATAATTTTTTCCTAAGTCAGTTAGAGTCATAGATCACTTCATAGATACTTCACATGCTGGACTGAGCTTGAAAGATCCCGGCGGTCACGGCGCGCGCGGGGTCTTCGGGGACGGATTTCTCAGCCGTGAATTAAACGGCAGTGTCCAGGCAAAAACTCGATTTTGAGATTTTGTGCTTACCCGGGCCTATTCGCTATGCTGAATCCGAAAATCCACATTGGAGAGCGCGAAAACGACGAAAAAGGGCTCTAACACTGGAGGGAAATCAGCAAGTGGGCGGGGTCTTCCCCACTGTGAATTCACGCTTTCAGCTTCCAGAGCAATTTTCTCGAATCCATTAGCCGCCCTGACATCACTACCGATCAAGTGCAAACGAATGACTTGAAACCGAAATCAAAAAGATCGCCCCCGAAGCTGGGAGCGTGAATTCACCGTGGGGAAGACCCCGCCCACTTGCTGATTTCCCTCCAGTATTAGAGCCCTTTTTCGTCGTTTTCGCGCTCTCCAATGTGGATTTTCGGATTCAGCATAGCGAATAGGCCCGGGTAAGCACAAAATCTCAAAATCGAGTTTTTGCCCGGACACTGCCTTTAACTATTTGCGCTGCCCCTTGGGCAGTGCCTAGTTAGGACCCCCTCATCAATTTACAGGCGAAAAATTCATGCGCCCAGATCTACCTGGACACTGCCTTTAACCCACGAATGTCGTTAATCACGAAGAGTGAATTTGGGAATCCAGCAGTGCTTTTTGTGTCGACCCAACCCAGTGGCTTTCGCTTACCCACTAGGTGGCAAAACCTAGTGCGTTCATTGACAAATACGGCCGTTAAGATTTCTGCGTTGCACATCAAGCGTGGGAGAGTTACTGGGTGGGATTGTTTTGTACTGCAAGGTTAAAGTAGGGTTACTTTGTTACTATACATAGAAGGAGTTAGAGTTGCATGGAGTTGCAAGTATCAGTTAGCAGGTAGCCTATTTTTGCGTACTGCAGACTTTCCAGACCAAGTTTCGGTTCGGTCATTTGTGCATCTGTGTCTCTCCTATCCTCGCGTTGAATCGAGTCGCCAACGACTTTGTGAATGGCGTCTTATGCTCCTCATAGAACTTCAAGCTCGTGATCAATGTCGCTTTTATAGGCAAATGACAATAATGCTGATCTTCCCCTGACGTAGAGTGGCAAATCGCAGGACTGCTAATACTAGCGATAGAAGCTCATACGAGTTGACGAGATGGCTAACGGTGGCAACAAATCCACCCTCTCGATGTTGCGTGTTGGAAACTTTTCTCCTAGTATAACAAACGTCCCATTCTTCGTTCCATTCTCATCTTGAGTGTGGTCGAACTTTTGTTCTTTTTTCCTGTAGCAGAATTACAACCTATGTGGTCGACTTGTGGCGTAAAGTGAACAAAGAGCTCGCAGACGGAAGCTACCATCAATGCGTTGTATGTATCTACATAGTCGAGAAAGCCTCCATGTCTTGTCAATCCGTTTTGATGCCGAAAGGATCTACCCTTCCCTCCCCCCTTCCTCCTCCCCCCCCCCCCCCGCTGGCCGTACTGCCATCAGACGTCCCAAGCGGCAGACGAACACATTGTGCAGGATAGCAAGATATGGGGGGCAATGGTATAATGAGAAAAAGCAACACAATTTTCCGACGCACCCCGAGCCGAGTTGGAGTATACTAGAGCTATGCCAAGGTAGTCGCCGCTTGGGATAACAATGGCGGCTTTTGCCACTGGCAACCTGGCGTTGCCATAAATTTCAATAGACCATGTTGACTTAACCCTTTGGGACCTAGCGGTGGCAGTTGCCACCAGCAAGTTTAACACGTTTCGGATCGGTGCTGCACATGGTGCAGCACGCGCCTTTGAAGAACATTTTCAACGTTTACAGGAGGTTTTCTTTTTGTCCAAAGTTATCAAGTCAAAGGCCTAATCTCCTCGTTTTCGAAAGGGTCTGTAGAGCTGTGCTATCTATATTTGTTCAGGAGATATGAGGACAAATCGAACATCAGTTGCAACGAAGTGCGGCAACGCGAACGACGCGTGCGACGTCGCAACTTTTCTTAGCTTTGAATACAAAGAGGAAAACCGTAGTCTCAATAATGATGTGTATCGTGTACAACATAGATACTTTTGGATACAATTAGAAACTGAGTTCTTGTTCCTATCTTTCAAAAAAGCACGGAAGTCCTTCTCAGACGACAAAATTCAAACACTTCGAATTCACTCAGAACTCTGGGTATGGACCTTACTTGACATGCTGATTACAGATGTAGCACACAATCTACGAATTAAGGTCCATTTGTTGGCAAACGGCTGAAAGTACCCTCTTTTTTGCCGCGCGCGATTTCGCGGTCTGAAACGTGTTGAAAGACTATAGCTTCGCCGCGACAACATGTTTCTAGCACCCCTAGTTATAGTAGCTTGGGATGGCCTATTGCTTTCTATCTGCGCGTTCACTAACAATTTTGTTCGTTCTGGGCTTGGTATCAGAAGGAATTGCATGCAAAGCAACACTGGATCGCGCTCGACTTTGAAATCTAATAGGTTGGTGCCAATTTTTTTCTAAAACATTGTGTTTCTATCCATATTTCCATTGTAAGTTGAGTATGAAGTTGTTCAAAAAAGTTGGCAGTTTTGTGAGTCCACATTTGTTGACTCTTTGCCATCACCTTCAGAATTGTTGTACGCAACTGCCACCAGTGGGCTTCAGTGGAGCTTTAATGGAAGGTTTTTTATTCAAAAGACGGACCGCCAACGAGCTTCGACAAGAATCTAACTGGCATATCTAAACAAATCACCTCGAGAGAAGCTGCGGCCGCATCATTGGCGAAGATGTTGTTGACGAGGAGTTCGGAGACATTCTCAGACAGTCGAAGGGATACCTCCGGGGGGCAAATGGCGCGGGTCTGCCACTTCGCGCTCCGGTGCCCTCCGGAGCCCTCCCATTTCACCCATTTTGGTGCTCCGGGGCTCTCCCAAATCTGGCGCACCTGCGGAGCAGAGATTTGCGAGTCCCGGAGAGAGGTCCCATTCGCCTGCTTGTGAGGTCACCGTGTGTCACCGTGTCACAGCGTCGGACACTGGCCGATACATGAAGATGGTAACAAACAACGATGTAAACTAGAATCTTATAAAGGACGTTCTTGAATTCAGTGTGAGAAATAGTTCATCTTTGCCTGACGAAACATCGAAATTGCTTCAGAACATTCCATTGTAGATAAGTGAGGTGTGATAAAAGCTGTTTCACTAAAGCCTGTTGGTGGCAAATGCCACCATTTTGTAACTTCTTACCGTATGGTCGGAAACTTTTCAACTAACTGAAGTGTTATTAATATGCCTATAAGTAAAAATCAATGAGAAAGAAAATTTCTTTCCCACGGGAAAAAGCCAGGTCCGAAAGGGTTGAAGTTGTCTGCTTTGAGCTGACTCGTGATTGCACCAATTTACCCAATTTGCCACAAAATACATCCTCTCACCACGAGGCAGCTGGGGTTACACTAGCCAATACCATAAAGATAGCAGGATCCAAATTTCCCAAATATTTTATCTGACCTTCTGAAGTTATCAACCAAATCTACCTGCCTATAGAACAAAATTTTAGAGCCTTGAAAGTTTGTCACTGTTTCTAAAGCTAGTCTAGCAATAATGGGCTGGGAAATTAGGCTCCTGACGTAATGCACTTGATCACCTTGTGAGAATGCTGACTAAATTTACAATTTACACCAAATCCATATCAGTTTTTTCTCGTTTCTATCGCCAAAAACTCTTGGTCCTAACTTAAAGCCAGCGCCTAGGCAATGTGGATATATGGAAATCTCACGTGGACAGTAATTTTGGACCCTAAATAAGAACTGCACCGGCAGCTCAGATGGTGTTCTAACGGCTGAGATAATCACCTCCAAACTGGACCCCAGGATCGTATTAGGTTGGCTAATAAATAAGTTCGGTTTGACATGCTTTTTCGAAAGTCTGTAACAAATCGACTAGCAGATATTTAGCGAAGATTTTTTTGCCAGGAGGTAGCTTCAACCCTCTACTATCACCTATGAAATAGTCGCAGTTTTTGGTCATCAATAATTAGCAAGTATGCCCTTATATGTCTAGCTTTCTGAAAATTCGCTTTTTTGAATTTCTAAGTGTCGTTCTCAGCCCATAGTGAGCGCACAGATGACTAATTTGGTGCTTAGGTGTATACAGCCTTTGGCTACATGGCGAACCACAATGGAGATTGTGATCTGTTGTTTGTGAATTTCTGCAGCCAAAAATGTGAGAATTTCTAGGCATTTGCGCATGGGAGTCAGTTTTTGGGCAGTCCGAATCGCTCGAGTTTAACCATCAATGGCCATACAAATTGTTGGAAATTTCAGAAATTGTGGTGTGGAGGCCAGTTGTGCATTTTGCACCCAACTTTAGCTCATTTTTCGGGGCATGATTTTTTAAAAATTCGATGGAAAAATTTGACTATTTCCATTTCCTGCACAATTTCGTCGTCAAAATGATGATTGGCGCTCAAACAGGGTTAACCATCCGATTCTCCCTGATTTGCTCTTCCTAATGGTACCAAACATTCTTACACAAAGTAATTTGTAAGATTTGTACAAACCGTTGAAAACGACCGAACTTATTTTTTAGCCAACCTAATATTTCGCATGGATTCATGGCGCCACACGTCATTTTCGCGTGAGTCCTCGCGCGAAAGCATGCAAACACGATGCAAGCCTCCGATAATACGATCCTGGTGTCCAGTTTGGAGGCGTATATCTCAGCCGTTAGTGAATCATTTCCGCTGCCGCTTGGGTAGTGCTTAGTTAAGGCCCCAAAACTGACCTTTGATTCAACTGGGCTGGCTTCGGGAAGGCGGGGAATTGTAACGTAATTAAGGCCGCTCGCGCCCGCGACGCACCTGCGTCTCTCTTGCGCGAGTGCTCTTTGATCATTAGCTAGTCTTAATTAGGTTACGAGCCTCGCCTTCGCGATGCCAAGCCAGTTGAATCAAATGTTACTTTCCACGTAAAATCTCCAAAGGTAAGTTTTGCCTGAACGTTGCCTTTAATCCTCACTAGTATTTTTAAAACAATTCCAAAAAACAATAATTTATAAGCAAATCATAAGTGAAACATAATACGCGAAATATCAACAACAATGAGAAAAGCTTTACGATAGAATGGGTAATCGTAGTGAATACTCGTATCACAGTGGGCTTTGGAGAGTTGTTAAAATTAGTGCAAAACTCACTAAAGAAATTTTGCACACGGACATTACAAATAATTTAATAGACACTTGAGATTGCATTCTGTAAACTGGCGAGGAATACGGTAAGTCGATGAAAATCAAACCTCTTCTGTTCAGTTACAGAAAAGAATTAAAGCATATAACTCAACCAGTTATGTGAAGTGTAGATCAAGCTGAAACCTGAGTTTATAAGGTTTCTATCATCTGCTATACTTATTTTTAGGACAGCTTTTATTTTGACGTCCGAGTATCCTTGGGAGCTGAGGGGGGCACGGATTCGTCTGCGGTATTCACGGCATCGTTATCATAGGAGTTTTCCTCATCCAATATGACGTCGTCCGATGGAGGTGTTGCCCTAGATTTAACAACAATGAAGTTACAATTTTGTCAAATTTTCAGCTGAAACTCACTGCTCAAACTGTGCGAATGAAACGGCATCGTAAATTGTTGGATAGAAATTTGTTTTAGCCACTGCTGCGTAGAGACCGCTTGCTTCAAAAAGTTCTCGTACCGGGGCTGCAAGCAGAACAATCCATTAATTCATATATTGAGAAAATTTGGGAAAAGGTGGAGGACTAGTTTTAACGTAGGCTTTTGACATATATAGAAAAATGGAATGTCAGTACCTTTCGCAGCTGCAAAGAAAACCTTGATGTTTCTCGATCGCATCTCTTCATAAATCTGAATGTTCGATGAATTATTTGTTCCATCTTTTCATAGCTTTCTGCTGCAAAGGTTAACCAGACTGTGAATAAAATTACCTCTTTCAGACTATTTACTCCCATAACGTCTACGTAAGCAAAACCAGAACAGTCGATTATGAGGAATCGCTTCATTTTCGGGGTATCTTCTTTTTCAGTCTCGGTTTTCTAAAAAAGAACTTTAGAAAACTTTCGAAATGGAATTTCTCTAAAAGATTTTTCAACAGTTGCGTCAAAGGTAGAGGGTCTTACTCGCTGAACTTACCTCATTCTCTCCAAGAATAGCTTTCGGGTCGATTTGGCCACAGCATCTCATGCCATTCCAGTCATTTGCTAGTTTGTCCACTATTTTGCGGAAACGATCCACATTTGTAAATAGGAGAGGTGAGTCAAATCGCAATACGCAGACACTCTAAAAAATTCAGGTTTAGTTAGAGGATTGGTCTACATTGAATATTTTCAAAAAATTCACATTGAAGAAATAAATGTGCTTATATCGCTCCATATCGCGAAAATCATTCGTTCCAGAGATATTGGCTAGAATATGCCATCTTGGCCTAAACAAAGGGAATTAATGATTTTTGGAAGACCAATATGCAAATATACTTACCACTGCTCTCGGATTACTGTAGTGAAAAGTGCGAAAAATATGGCTATAGCTAAACCTTCCATTACGTCTATACCCAACGTTGCAACGAAAGCTACGACCCATATGCTCTGAAAATACAAACTAGTCGCCATGTAACAGTTCTTATCAATTTTTTGGAACTTACGAAATCAATCTTCGATAGCTTCCATAGTACAGATAATGTTTGAAATTTTTCGAACATTCCCAAAAGAGCCACTACGATGATTGATGCTAGCACACACTAAATATGTATATTATTATAGAATACGAATATTAGAGGAAGGAGGACCTACCATTGGTAACGGTTGCAACCACGAACCACTAAATTGTACAACAATGAAGATAAATATGCTTGAGAAGATAGCACCAAGCTGAAAGCAGTAGAGATGACCGTAAGTCGCTTTTTACATAAATTTTGCTAGATTGTATCAAATTTGCTTAAATTCGATAGGAACCATTGCGGAATGATGGAAGATCCTGTTAAGATGTTTTGCAATCATTGTGTCTTGACGTATCGATGATCTATATACATACTTCGTATCTCACATTATAAAAGGGCAGCCACCCCGGCTATCACTCATTCGGTTTTCTTCCTAATAAACTGTTCCTTATTCGTATTCACTCCCCCCCCCTTAGACAACATCAGAGTATGCTACTATTCCTTATGTATTTCGTAATTTTCCGTAGTGATCGCTGACGCTACCTGAGTTCTTGATCCCGCTCCAGCGCTGACCATAGTCCGTGAAATACTACTTGAATGCGGAAATACAGGGAAAAATCCACTAATCACTGATGTGAAACCCATAGCGTAGAATTCCTAAATTTTCATTGAAATACGGACACAAACTAGTTTCTGACTCGCGAACACTATCATTTGCATATTCAGGGCAAAAACTTCATGGTGCAGTTGTGATCGGATTATTCGTGGTATCTACGTACGTACCTGATTAGTGTTCACTTCGTAGTGATATTTTTTCGCAAGGATTTTTGCCAGTGAAACATGGATGGCCATTACGACAATCGTAATGGACATAGCATCTAATATAAGCGAAGAGAAGAGCTCCACTCGGGGAACAATTGGAGCCGGAAGACTGAAAATAGGAGAGCATGGTGATATCAGTGTAACGGGGAAATCAAACAAAGATTTAATGGACCAGGATTTACCCTGTTGGAATCTTTCCGACCGTGCTAACGTTGAAATTTTTCTTGAGCTGTGCAAATTGGCAGACAAGTGTACCTCCAATAACCTGAAAAATTGGATTTTTTTGGGTTACCAAGACATTACCCATAATTTTTACCGCAAGCAATTCAAAAGGAACTGGCACAGGACAATGGAGTCGTTTCTGCACTATTGGATTTATGAGATCCTTCCCAAGAATGAGCACAAACATAGTTACGGCTGATACCGCCAGTGTGACGACATTTGTTCGAGGCAAAGCTTTGACAAGATCATAGACTTTCTAAATTTATCGGATTTTTTTTTGAGATTTTTGTATCTATTTTTACTCACAAGTAGAGCATTTGCCGCACCATTTCGTCGTGGCAAACCAGTAATTCCTGCTATATCCTTCAATTGTGTGATAAATACATGCATCGAAGCACCAGTAGTGAATCCGCCGACTAACTCGTCGGAAAAGTAAGTGGTGACGAAGTCTAGCCCAAGTACAGCAATTGCTGCCTGGAAGAAGCACAGACAATAAGAATGCAAATTCTTTTGAATTTCGCGAGCGGAGAAGCGAAGAAGGAGCTTCTTACCTGTATCAATCCCATTAGTACAGTAAGCGCTGAAGCCACCTGGAGCGGTGTAGGACCATCGACGATTGCTGTCGCATTAGCTAATAATAAATCGTCATCATCTAGAGGTTTGACAGCAAGCCGATTTACAGCTTTCCCGCACATTAGAGCTACGACAGCGAATGTTCCTGAAGATTTGCATCTATATCAACTTATCATCACAATGTCGATGTTTATTTCGTCCATATTCTTTGTTTACTTCATTGAATCACTAATTTGTCGTTTTGTTTTGTTTTCATGGAACAGCTTTAGCGTACAAATGAAAATGAAATAAAAGTTTGTCTGTATGACATGATTTTCAAGAGTTCTGAAGATTACGATTCGTAGTCTACGAATTGGAGTGTATTTGAAAATATAACCTTTTGGAGGTTACATTCCTTCCTCATATTTAGCTGTCTACTAAACTATTCAACATCTCAATAACTATTCGTTCATTTCCTCTGTGTAATTTTCTCTCGTCATTTGAGATAAGCTAGTAAGATGTCGTAGTTTCACAGAGAGCACTTTCTTTACTTTATTCACACTTGACGCAACAAAAATGCCCTTCATTATTTGTTCTGTATCCTCCACGTGATTTATGGCAGCTGGAGTGCAAAATGCTTAAAATACAAAAAGCGTTGAGGCTTGGAATTTTTGTAGATGTAACAGCAATGTCATAAAAGTTGAAATAAATAACTCGAAACTCTTTGTTTGCATTCCTATTTGGGCTTACAATAGTCAGACTTTTTCAAACATTTTAGTGATAATGCCTCTGCGCGAAAAATTTGCCTTCATTGCTATTAAAGTAAGGTTATTCTTGAAAATTTACTCCTTCGGAACAATTTGCCTTCATTGCTAGCTTTAAGTAACAAGATAATTTGCAATTTATTTTTTCATTAATAATGATTCCATGTTTCTGCTTTGACTGAGTGTTTTTTACTTTTCTCTTGCTTATGATCATAACTTAGACTTTCGGTCGTTACTAGTGCACTTCATGTGCACTGAATAAATAGTTTAATAAATAGATAAACAAATAATTAAATAATTAGATAAAAAAGTGAACAGAGAACTTTTTGAGCTAAAAGATAATCTTGCTATCTCATTTGCTTTTTACTTATCAGCGCAAAGATGGCTCAAACTTGATCATCACAAATATAGTGTTCTAGCAAAAGCTCAGATAGCGGTTTTTCTTGTTGGGTTTGCAAAAGATAAATCATCTTCATAAAGATAGCCTTGTTCTTCTCTCACATAAAAAATGCTTCGAAATTCTGATGTTAAATGTGAGTTTTAACCTCAGCTAGCTCTAAAATGCTATTTAAGCACTTTGAATATTTTTTATTGTAGGTAACAAAATCTTTACAGCATCTGACTTATATGGTCTTTTTGAACCATAGAGCTTAACATAACCATCTTACTTGTAGGGCAAAACAGTAAGGGCCGCATGCACTAACATGGCCGCGGGGAGGGGATCGCAGCTTAAAAGAAAGCTTCATATTTCAAAACTCCAGATACTTGGATTTCACGTTGAGTACCTATCCGTAAGTATTCCTACTACCCTTCACTATGAACATGTTGGACAGGAGCGAGAAGCTCTACAAACCGCATTTTCCAGCTTTTGTATGATCCCTGATGATCCCCGGCGCTTTTCTTTATAGTCATTTTTCTTTCTCCGAAGTCAACGAAAAATTTCCAACGTTGTGCAGATTATCTAACATAACAGTGCTAAGCATGTTGCTGATAACAACAAATGATGTTTTGAAGTCATGAAATTTTCGATGATCCACAGGTCGAAATTTGGGGTATACCGAAAAATTCGATTTTTCAAAAATTCATTTGTTCTCATCAGCAACATGCTTAGCACTGTTGTATTAGATGTTCAATATAACTTTGATAAGTTTTCGTTAACTTCGGAGAAAGAAAAATGACTTTGAAGAATAGATGTTCGTCCCCCAGGGATCATCAGGGGATCCTACAAAAAGCTGGGAAATGCGGCTTTTACAGCTTCTCGCTTCTGCTCAATATGTTCATAGTGAAGGATGGTGGGAGTACCTTACGGACAGGTAGACGGCGTGAAATCCAGATACCCGGAGCTTCAGGATATGAAGCTTTCTTCAGAAGCTGCGATCCCCTCCCCAGCGGAAATGTTAGTGCATGCGGCCCTAAGTGAACCAGCAGATAGAGTTTACTAACCTGTGGAACAGTGCTGTGAAGTGCCAAATATCATATATGAAAGTACGGGAAAGAATGAGGTATAGAGACCAACCACTGGATCCACACCGGCAAGTAAAGCATAGGCAATACCTAAAATTTTTAGAACCCTTTTTCTCCAAATCTTATAGTAAGGTAAGTTCACAAACCTTGGGGCACATGCATGATACCTACTGTCAGCCCACCCATCGCATCATGAACGAGATTATTTTTATAGTCATACCTGAAAAGCAAGCATCAGATAGATAATTCTGATAAGGTTGGAATGGCTAACCTAGGTAGCCACTGGAGAATGGGTAAAAAAGAAATTAATGTATTGGCAAAGTTTCTTGGTGAAGTAAATGGTCTCCAGAATTTTCGTGTGATGTAGGCTACTCTCATACATGGACTAATGTGTTCTGATGGTAATTCATATTCGAACCGCCTGTCAAATTCTTCCTGAAAATTTTTCGACTTTTTTGCAAGGGCAAGAAAATGCTGTAAGAGTTACCTGATTCATAGGAGGCCTTTCCATGGCTTCCATTTGGCCAGGATCTCTACAGATGCTTGGCGGCATTTTATAGGTGTTGTGCTGTCAGGGTGGGTAAGCAAATACAGAAGTGCAATAATGAGTCGCTGCTACAAAGTAAACAAAATTTTTTGAAGAAGGTATCGAGAGCTTGAGAAGTTTGCGAATTAGTGTGCGGATAAGTTGTGAAACGAGGAATTTGATTACTAAGTAGAGAAGAGAAATAGTAATAATTTACAATTATATTCGCATAGATGTCCTCTTACCCAAGATATAATCAAGATAGGTAACTTTCACTAAAGAACGTATTCAAACCAATCCTTGCCATACCATACAAAAGGCTTGATCTAGGCTTAAAGAACGCTCAACAATGACGCTGATCATAAACTTTTTCTTATGTAAATAATGTTATGCATGAGAACAACAATAACAAAACACGCATCCACGCAATGTGATGTTGTTACCGAGTTACTTTACAGGTAAACAGTAAATTTCCGTGCACAAACATAACAGCATTACGTCGTGTTTGTGGTGAGTAAATGAGTAAATAGTTAATGTTTGATGAATGTCATTTATAGCCGTGTAGACGGAGTGCTCAGAGTTCAACCATTGTACGTAAGAATTTATGTACAGAGCTCAAGGATCGAAAAGTGTTGGTAATCGGATAGAGCAAAGATGGAACGAACAGGTGGACAAAGGTATTTGGCAAAGACTCAAAATGTTTAGCAATAGAGAAGGGAAGAGTTTTGTGTTATTGTAGATGAAATTGCCCAATATCGTTTGATTTTGCTCTCAATCAAACTAGAGATAAGTGCTGCACCTTTTCAGGACTATTTTTTCGTACGACTGACCGGCTTTATGGTTGCAAAAAATTATTCGGGTGCTACAGTGAAAGTATATGATCAAGGCATTTGTAACAAAGGTGGGACTTTGATGTCGAGTCTGGTACTTAATTATGCATGCAAAGTGACTGCGTTACTCCATTGTGTTTTATAAAATCACTTAGCCGTGTAATAGTTATTCAAGTATAGTATAAGTGCTCCAGGAGGTATTGCCCTAGTTTAGTACCGCAAGCTGTTTTTTGAACTCTAACACTTATCATGGGTAATATGTTGCAGAACACACTTATAAACTATAAAAGTGGACGGAATTTGGGACTTTTGGAGAATAAAGGTTGCCAGGAAAGAGAACTGATTAGATGCTTCTCTTTCAGCTGATATGTATAAAAACCAATTACATATTCAATGTTTTCAACCTGCTAAAATGCGAAGTTAATTCTCTCGACAAGTAATGAACTTTGGGCAGTGAAACACTTGAGACTACCCAAAGCATTAGTGCTGCCATGAGAAAGGAGCAGTCATCCAGTCTTGTCTTGTCTTGTCATATAATAAATATGTCTGTACTTATATTTGTTTTCTTGAATTTGACGATGAGCCATTGCGGTCCAAAGTTCATCCGCGTTCGCGAAAGTCTTTTGGGTAGAGACCTAAAGCGTTTGGCAGCCGAGCACCAGGCGAAGGGCGCAGAGCTTACCGAGCCACAATTTGAGACCTAAAGTTCAAAATAGGGCTTAGCAAGTTAATTCCGCTAGAAGACTGGTGATTGAATTTATCGACCAATCGACTTTTGCATTTAATGCTTTGAATAGCTACGAATTGGCAGGAGAGGAGGGGGGGGGGGAAGGTGTGAGCACCGACCAACCTAAGCCCACGACATGATCAAACATTGAAATAAGACCTCCAGATTCTCAGTAAATCCAACTCCTTCGCGGCGGAGCACACAACTCAGAATCATCGGAACCTCCGCAGGACGAGCAGAATGTGCAGCTTTCCAAATCACTTTCGTAATTAAGAAAGGGATTTCCGCATGAAATTGACGGTCAAAGCGATTGAAAGCCGGGACTTCCGCAACACTTTCCATAAAGCGAAAGCTGTGAAAGTACCCTATTTTCCGGAGTATAAGCCGCACCTTATATAAGCCGCACCCGTCGCAGCGAACAATGGCGCGAAAGCGCCTTTGAAAAGAAGTATAAAGCAAATTGAAAACTCGGTGCGTTCTAGTATGGATAGTCATGTCTGATAGTCATTTTGATGATAGTAAAAATGCCTAGACTTTTTTTATTGTTTCATGGGACTTTGCAGGTGCTTAAGTTGTGTTTTCTTTCCTAAATGATACTACTGGTTGACTGTGCTTTCCTTTTTTCATTGATGTTACTGGTGCTGAAGTTGTGCTTTCTTTTATTTTGATTTACCGGTTTGAAGCTTATCACCTTTCGATTCCATGTTACAACTGGTATTCGAACGTTCTTATATTGTTCAGCGGATTCTTGAAAGAATAAATGAGAAGGTAGGAAATTTTGTTACCAACAAATACACTTGCGAAGAAACCAAATAAAGAACGAAAGCAGGAAGCCCTTATTAGATTACCAAGCGGAATAGATAGTAGTTGCTGCTTGTGCGGCTTCGCGCATCGCGAACGACATCGCATTTCAGCCCGCGCGCGGTGAAGAGAAATGCGGCTTATACACCGGAAAATAGGGTAAATCATAAAGTTTCTGCAGCACTTTGACCTGCTAGGATTTCCGCAGGATATAAAGAGCGCATACACTTGCGATTGCGAGATAATGAACGCATCTTTACCGAGATTAATGGCGCTTAGGAGATTCGTGGTGCAATTTCATTATGGTCCACCATGCATGGATAGCTCAAAGCGCGATTACGTCATAGCCCAGCGTTGCTGCCTTCCATAGTGTTTTCGCTTCTATAATATTTCGCTTCTTTTCTTTCCCTTTTTTCTTCTGTGCAATGCTGACGTAATTAAACTTGTACTTATCCATATTCTAATTAATACTTTTGCAGGTACCGGTTCACCTGTGTGAACAAACGTCATCAAGTTGTTGGTCAGCTGGAAAATAAGTCAGAGGAGGGTTTCAAGCATAACGCTCTTATTTCAGTTATGTCTTTCTTTTCTTTCTTTTTTTTCAATTCGAGCTAATAATCCGAATGGTTTGGAACTATAATTTTCTCAATAGTAATTTTTAAGGATTACTGAATAAATTAGAAACAATCCGTTAGAAATATTAGGTTGGTGCAAAAATAATGAGCGTTTTCCCATTTTTCACTTTAACTTGCTATAACTTTCTACAAAATCTACATTTTAAAATGTGATAAAAACTATCAGATGCAGCGAACCTTTCGCAGTACAGCGCACATTGAACTATACTCATATCTCATATGGGCAGAAAAATATGGATTGGAAAACAAAAAGTGTTTTTTTTTCTGAAGCCTTGTACTTGACAGATCATAACTCCTTTCACACTTTGTTCTTATGATTTGTAAGCAGCCTATCCTGTAGCCGCAAACCAGTAGTACAAATATACATGGAAACGGCTTGGAGGAAAAAGATTAGCGAAGACGGAAAAATCGTAATAAAAAATATCAACTTTAACTATCAACTTAAATATCAACTTATCAAAATAATAAAATATCAACTTTTTTAGCCTTTTTTCAGTAGGCCTCAAAACCCCGAAGTAGAGAATTTTTCAATTTTCTGCGTACTAAAAAGCTGGATGTTTTTGCAAAAACCGCTAATGGGACTCCTATCCTCACGCTTACATAGATGAGCAAAGTTTGAGCGACTGCATTTTACAAAGAAAGTTATGGGCTCTAAAATGACCACAACCAGTGCCCATGTTAAGCCGCCGATATCTCACTTTAGCTAACTTCAAAAAATATGGTTAAGTATGCATAATGTAGACAATTTTTATTACATATAGCGACTAAATTTTTAAACCATCTTCATTGGCGCTCAAATTCTGACCAGAAAAATGAATGCAATGAAAATTTAATTTTGAGTGTAATTATGTGAAGCTCTATAAATTCTTAACAGAGTGGGCTAGAAGTTCCTTTCGAACATCTCAGATAGAGCATGAAAAGAGCTTTCTAACAATGTGCTGAAACCGTTAAAAAGAGAGACGTTTGATGGAGAAAAGTTGTCCTGAAAAAAGTCCTAGGAAAACGCTCATTATTTTTGCACCAACCTAATATATCAAAGAAGAGGACGATGAGTAATGGATCTCAAAAATTTTGAATTGGTCTACAAACTTCAAAGTCCCCTTGTGGGTCATTTTCAAAAGTGTGGCTCGCTTCTTCCTCTCGTTAAAAGAAAATTGGAGTGTATGTTCAGAGGCGCGATCTTTATTTCTAATGGACACCAGTTAGTGTAATTTTAGTGTTCGATAGCGTTATAAAAGACTTATGCACTTCTGAGGAGATATGCAGGGTCTTGCCAAGGCCGTTCAACCTCAAATTTTGAGATCGATTCAAAACACGAATGTTGGAGAGACCGTAAACCCGTGAAAATGCAACTTATCGCAACTTATCGCATTGAATTTTTTACCAAAAACAGTCAAACTGGACAACTGGTAACTTTAGACTGTTAGTAAGCTAGAGCAATTTGTTTGGTATTTTGAAAAATTGCATAGTTTTAAATTGGTATTGTGTTGGTGACCTGTGGAGAAATCGCGCCTCTACCGTCTCGAAAATTAGGGAGTACAAGGATTAGAATTTCTATTCCTAACTCCACTGACAGCATAGAAAGTAGATGCAAGACAAAACTAAGAAGTATTTTCAAGGTTGTGTTCAAAAACACATTATTTGGAGCAAGTGAGCTTTATGGATAAGCTGGAATTGTTGAAAATTTCACGAACATGTGAGTTACATTTCAATGATTTAGGAGCAATGAAAAGGGACGTGCATGGCAGAAGCGCCGTTTCTTTCTTTGACTCTGTCTTTAGCACACACTTTTCGAAGAGGACATCCGAATATCGCAGACTAGTAAAGGACACCTGATTGCCCTCAAAAATGCGATCAAAAAATTTTTAATCATCTTCTCATTACAGAAAGGGAGGAGACGGAAGTTGACTTTTTCGCGCGGGCGAAGCCAAAATGTTACTTGAGGGATGGAAACGGGCTGATTTCCTATGGAACCGTTTTCTCATAAAGCATTTTTCCCATTACCTCACCTTATGAATAAAGTTGTTACATTTT